TTAGGAAACTGTATTTTGTGAATTTGGGGAACTTTCAACATTTTTGCACAAAGCACCTGAGAAATATGAAATATATACAAAGTATAGGTTGGTAATATGGCTGAGTTGGGAGAGTGCTCACTTAGGATGCATGATACCTTGAGTTTGGTTCTCAGCATGGCATAAATAGGGCATGGTGGTTCGTGCAGGTAATCTCAGAACCGAGGAGGGTGGAGGCAGGAGGATCACAAGTTCATGTTCGTTTCTGACTACATATGGAGTTCAAGGCCAGCCTGGGCTAAATGTCTCAGAAAAGAGGGGAAGGGTACAGTGAGATGGCTTAGCAGGTAAAGGCAACTACCAAGCCTTTGATGATCTGAATTCCATTCTTGGAAGAAGAAAGCTCACTCTTGCCATTTGTCCTCTGATTTCCACATGTACATCACACACTTACACAAAAAAGGTTCTGTTCTGTGTCATGAGTCACTGTTTTTGCTGGAGAGAGGGAGAGGCATGAATGAGACTGAATAAGCAGCTGCCAGTTCATAGCTAAAGACAGGTGTGGAGGAAGTACACCCCGCCTGCACACAGTAACAAGGAAACAGAAAGCAAATGTGATAGCCAAGTGTCTTCTGGGAGAAGCTGAAAGGCAGACAGAATCCAGTGTGGCTTCAGACTCCAGAGCAAGCTGACGATCAGCCTTTAATCTGCTCTAACTTTATAGGTGGTACCTAGAAATGAACACTATAGCTATACCAAAGTTCCCCACAGGAATTTATCTGCATGATGACATTCTAAAATGTGGTCATAGATGAACGTCTTAGATACTACAGTGAAAACCACCCATTTCTGTCTTAGATACTATGGTGAAAACCACCCATTTCTTATCAACATACTGCTGACTCAAGTTTGTTTGTATATCTTTGGGGATGGTAAAAAAGAGAACAATATCTAGAAAATTCTCACCTGAAAAAAAGTCACACAGATGTGTTGTAAATAAGCATGACTTTGAAGAGATAGTATTGTGCTCCATGTATTGTTAGCTGACAGCTGAGCAGAAACTAAGCCAGCTGCCTACAACTGTTCTGAGTTAAAGCCTATTTGAGATATTTTTTGGCATGGTGAGTCTTCCCTTTCCATATCACTGTGGCCCTGGGATTCATGAGAGAAATTTAACCAATTTGATGGAGTTATATGGACAAGCACATTGGTCCATGAGTCAGGATCTGACACACACACAAAAATCCCCACGGTATTGACCCAGGGGGAGGTCTCTCCAAGAAGGGAATTTATAGCACACGAGGTTTCAATTTCTGCTTCTGGAATAAGACTTTGTTATGATCTTGGTGGCTGAAATGTGAGGCTAAACATCACATTGGGATTCAGAACCATTGTGCATTTCAGCTGTAGGGTAATTTCAGTAAAGATGTATTCCTTTCCCTGCATGTCCCTGAGCAGGGAGCTCAATGGTTTCGCTCAATTTTTTTCCATGTCTGCACTGCCACCATATACTCCAGCAAGGAGGCCCACTATGGTGGCATTCATTCTCAGCCTTCCAGTCTTTGTGACACTCAAATTACTTTATAGACAAAGGGCCTTGCACATGCTACTCAACCCTTCTCCCTTTGAGTCACACCCCAGCACCAGCTACTATTCTCAGACTTTTGTTTTTGTTTAAAGACTTATTTAGGTATTTATTATGTATACAGTGTTCTGCCTGCATGTATACCTGCAGGCCAGAGAGGTCACCAGATCTCATTACAGATGGCTGTGAGCCACTATGTGGTTGCTGGGAATTGAACTCAGGATCTCTGGAAGAGCAGGCAGTGCTCTTAACCTTTGAGCCATCTCTCCAGCCCCTATTCTCAGACTTTTGATATGCAATGAGTCAATGGACAAAGCTGTCTCTTGGCATTGACATCCCAACATGAAGGAAGGTACACTTAAAATGAAGCCCTTCCATGGTCAGTTACTCTTTTAATATAAAATATCCTTGTGCATCTTCAAGTCATACCAGCATTTGAAATGATGGCAAAGGCCCTCATATGTTTTTCCTCTGTTTGTCATCCCTTTTATTCACACTTCCTGTCTACAGAATAAATGGAATATAATCTGCCTCTCCAACACAAGACCACTAATTATGGTCACTGTTATGGCAAAGCAGAAAGTTGACAATAATGAAGCTGTTTATTTTTATGAATAAGTAGAATGACAAAGGTCAGTCTCACGCCCACACCCAACTAACTACACACATAACAGGGATGTGGTAGCTCTTTTGCCGCCTCCCCCTGCCCCCCAGATAAGAACACCTACAAATATTGATGGAGTGGCTTTTTCTTTTTTCCTCCATAGATGTTGGAATACCCACAAAGCCCCCAAATGAAAACCCTCTTGTTCCTGTAACACTCTTTCCCTCTCCCTAAATTCTTTTGAAGTTAATGAAAGTGCCATTCATGGGAGCAGCAGGAGCACAGTGTTACCCCAGGCAGTACAGTCACTCAGAAAGGGAGATAGGTGCTGCATTCCCTTTAGCTTCTCAACCTGTGGGTCATGACCTCCCTTTCCAAAACATACATACATTTAACAGTAAATATTTACATCACAACAGTAGCAAAATTACACTTACAGAGCACCAACAAACTAATTTTATAGTTTGGGGAGAGGTCACAGCAGGAGGAACTGCACTAGCTGAGATGAAGGAGGACTAATTGACATCCCCACTGCAGGCATCCTATTGCACCTGGTGTCATTTACCTGGCCGCAATGAGATCCAGGAGATGCTGCCACCTGTCATTCACTTTGCCGAGCTTGTACTGAATCTCAGCGGCTTTGCTTTCATGACTAGCTTTAGCAAGCCTCTCTCCCATTTGCTGGAGCTGGATTTTGTTCTCTTGGGCAACAGCAATTTCCTCTTGATAATCCTGCATAATGAAAGCAATCACGGAGGTCAGAAGGCATATTCTTAATGCATTCATCTGGCTCCTCTGGAAACACACTAATTACAGTTTCTACTGTTTGGACAGTTTGGGCCTGAGGAACACCGTGTGAACATCAGTCTAGAATTAATAGTGCCTATTGCTCTTGATAATGTGAAGTCCAGTCTCAATTATTCCAATGGATTTTCTGAAAGGAATTGTAAGGCACTTGGTTGTAGGGCACTAGGTTGGTATGATGGCATATGACTGTAATCTCTGCACTTGAGAAGTAGAGGCAAGAGAATCAGGAGTTCAAGATCTTCCAGTAGAGTGAGTTTGAGACCAGTATATTGTGGCTTACATGGGGAGAGGAAGGTCTTAATGGAGGGAGGAGAGTAAAAATGAAGGCAGTCTAAATGTAGAGAGAAGGCTGGGGGTGGAAAGGCTTAAGCAGGCAAGGGTGGAAGGACAGGGGAGATGAGAGCTTAAGGGAAAGGATCAACCAAAATGAAGAGGTTATGACCCAAGTAAAAATATAATAAAAAAAAATAAGAGTTTCATGAGAGCTTGACACAAAATCCTACCCTAAGTTGTGGAGTTATTACCAATTGTTAGCTGTTAGGAAAGGAAGAGATTGTTTTCACTAAGATTATAGTCCTTGGTAAGTTGACGTTGCTCCAGCGGAAGACTATACACCAAGATTATTTGGGCAGCACAAATTTGCCTTGATGGGTGAAAAAAAAGACACAGAGTTAGGCAATTAGGGAATTGGGAGTAGACCTGGGAAGAGTTGATGGGTGAGGTGCATATGACAAAAGCATGATCATTAAATCTTAAAAAAACTAATAAAATTTTGAAAATGGCTTTTGAATGTAGCTGAAAAAGAAACCTATTCTTAGGAGCTATAGGTTATGGAATGAAAATCCCAATCCTGGGCTGGGAAACCTTATTAGTCAAAAATGTCCTTAAAATAAAACGAGCTCTGGCCATCTCTCCAGTAGTGGAGACGAGAAGAGAGAACAGAGCTGTTGCTGAAGACACCACATACCTTGGTTGCTAAAACTGAGCTATAAGCTTCTTCCCTGCCAATTAACTTTCAATGATTTAGAAGGTTCTATGCAGGTTTATGGGAGAGAAGAGGCATCACCCACAGTTAACTCTACGAACTGTAAGACCAACCTGCCAGGTAGCATGTGCAGTAGTGGCATTACTGCCATGGAGGTAACCAACTTGCTGAATTTGAGGGCCATTCTGAAGGAGTCCATGTCGGATAATGTAAACATGGTCAAAACCCACAGCTGGGTTGGTCATAGGTTGGGGGAGATGGTACAACTGAAAACTTTTATTTAGAAAAATTGTCACAAGGTCAAAGTACCTTCTAAATATTTATTTTTCTAAATATTTAGACAAATGGTATTCTTAGCCTTAATCATGGAAGCCTCTTTTTCAGTGAACAGGTAGACACAGAGACTTGTCACTGCAACACATGACAAATTAGTTTGCAGTTCTATTAATAATGAACTAATTTCACCAAGTTAGTGGGTCTCACACCATCTCTCGTTTTATTCAGTCTCTTTGCTAGCCCTTCTTAAAAACTGGTTAAAAATAACAGGCCTAGACAGGCAGAGATGGTACATACCTTTTATCCCAGCACTCAGGAGGCAGAGGCAGGCAGCTCTCTGAGTCCCAGTCTAGCCTGCTCTACAGAGTGAGTTCTAGGACAGCTAGGGCTACATAGAGAAACCCTGTCTGGAAAAAATGGGGGGGGGCACTTTATATGATCTATTTGCAGGGAACAACAGAGACTAAACCAGAAGACATATCCAGTTTTTAGGATCAGTGTTGAGACTCAAGGTCAAAAAACACATGTTATACAGCAGATAGTATCTCAGCAAAATAATAAAGGACAGAAGATGGCTCCTCAGGTAGAGCATAAACATGAGGTCTGGAATTTGGGGTTCTTAAGAGCCCATGCAAACACTGACCAGGAGGACTCCCTTGCCTGTAACCCCTGGGCAACAAGGGGAAAACAGGATCCCTGGCCAAGTGGATAGGGAGACCAGGCAAATCTGTGAGCTATGGGTTCAGTTGAGATACCCCACATCAATTTAAAAGACTAAAAGCAACTGAGAAAGATGCCTAACTTTGACCTCTGGTCTCCATAAGCACATGCTCATCCGGGGTGCCACACACATGTGAAGAGGCACATACACACATGCATGCACACTATACAAACATGCACATGCAAAAAAAAAAAAAAAAAAAAAAAACAAAAAAAAAAAAAAAAAAAAAAAAAAAAAAACACCAAAAGTAAATTAAAAAATAAATGAAGATAGATTTTATATGTATATTTTAGCTCCTCCTCTAAAGTTTGGATACTCTCGAAGGCACATATCTGAGGAAAGGGGGCCTGCAAGAAAGAGGATGGCAGGTGAAACTGCATTCCTGCTCAGAGTTGAGTGCCTGGTATAGTTAGGACTCCTTGCCCCTGTCCACCCAACTTTTCGTGTTATTTCAACACAAAGGGATCCCAAAACCAAAGCACCGAGTGCATTTATGTACAGTTTTAACATTCCATCCCCCAAATCAGGGTGATTTTATTGAGAAATGTTGATTTCTAAAGAACCACTCTAAGCTTTAAAACGCACTTAGAGTAAAACTGATCTCTTGGGCTGTCATTTAAATGAAACTGCTTGTGTCAATGCCAATAGACAATAATCACTGGCTTCAAGTAATTTGTCACTTGGTTTTTCCTACGCTGCCAAAAATACTGAGCTCTTCTTAATAATGCTGTACAAGAAAGACACTAAATGCTTTTGAGTTCCACAACTTATTTGTATACTAACTAGTAGAATTAGCATTTCAAGAAGTATTTCTTTTCCTTCTTCACTTTTGCAGTGCTGCAAAGGAAGCAGTTCACTGCTATTTTCCCCACTCCCACCCTTGTTTGCTTTTGCTCTTCCTATCAAGCAGGGTCTTACTAAGTTGCCTGGGCTAGCATTGCACTCACTTGTGTAGCCTAGCAGACCTTGATCATGAAATTTTTCTACCTCAGGCTCACCAGTGGCTGAGATGACAGGTCCATACCACCAGGCCCACCTGCTCAAAGAGTATTTCCAACATTGTACCAAATAATATAATAAAAATAAAAACTTAAATTTTTAAATTATGGCTATATTTCGTTCTAGAAAGTGTTCTTTTTTACCATGTTTAAAATATACTTACTGAATTTCATAAAGAAAGCAATGAGAATGTAGACACATGTAACCAAGAATTACTCTTTGGTCAAATTTATAATGGTAACTAGTAAAATAGTTGTACCTAATACAACATTCTTTGGCACCTAGCAACCAGCAAAGCACCACTTTTAGTGGATACTGTGATAAAATCTGGCCCTGGAATAAGGATTTTGACATCAAATGAGCAAATTGATTACTCAGAGATTCTTCATATTTATATAGAAAATAATAAAGTCATCACTGCTATGTGTTGGCTCTGGAGTTTAACTTTGCTCCGTATGTGTGCACATTGAGAAAGATAAATTTTCCTAATAATCACTTGTGTTGCTTTCAGAAAGAATAAAGCTATAATAATCTCTCTGCTCAATAAACATGAACTGCATGCTTATGAGAAGTTAGGCACTGCTACAGATACAATGGGGAGAGCAGAAAACTCGACAGTGTCCACATTCCAGGCAGGTTTGCAGACTGATGGGCTTTTGCTCCAGACAGATAACAAACAAGTGAACACAGACACACACACACACACACACACACACACACACACACACAAATACACCATGTGTGTGCTAATGAGACACACAAATTGACATCCTGACATGAATATTTACTCAAAAATGTAGAAACTTTACTGAAAACCACACAAACATTTAAAATTATGAGCCAATTCAGTGAGCCCTATTTAGACATTAAAAACATATTCTAGGTTCAAATAAACCCACAAAATAATTTAATAACGCATAGGCAGCTTAACAACAGGAATCTAGAATTCCCAGGAACATCTTCACTCCTACTGAGGGCCTATAGATCATATTTTCCAGGGGAAAATCAGTTTAATTTGTCCTAAGGCTTTTTCCTTTTAGTTCCTCTATAGTGAATTCTGTCTATAAAAACCAACTTGAAGGAAATAAAAAAAAAAAAAAAAAAAAAAAAAAAAAAAAAAAGGGGGGTTGTGTGTAAATGATTCCTCCAGGGTATAACACAGAAAGTTGATTTTCTCACAAACTAAACACACCCTGTAGATTTTTCAGGGCAAAGTGGGTCTTTCCACATTGTATGTTATGAAGACGAAGCTTAATACACACTGCTTCTTGGACAGGGAAGTGACAGGCACAAGGAAACACTGGAAAGAAAGCATTCCCAAGCCACCGAGTCACCACTCACCCCACCTCATCCACAGCTCACCTTCTTGAGTTTTTCTATCATCTCTTCAATGAGGATGTCTCCATTCTGGGAGACTTTGCCCTCCATCTGCGTCAGCCACTCGCACAGCTCCTTGTTCTTTTCGCTGAAGACAGCCCATTCGTTCAGTCGTTCACTCACTTGCTGTCGTCTTAAGGAGACCTAGGAAATTTAAAATGGGATGGTTATGAAAATGGTAATGGCAACAGAGCCACTCTGACCTGAGAAGGAAATGGCCCCTTGAAATGTGCAGGTCCTGGGCATCCCTGCAGGTCAAGGTCTCCTGAAATAGAAGACTTGCTAAAAGAAACAGGAGAGGAAAAGGGGCTGGAGAAAAGTCTGAGATCAATGGCTGGTCTTGCAGAAAATCTTTGAGTTCACCTCCAGACACCCCAGGTTCACCTCTGGACACCCACATGATGGCTCACAACCCTCTCAAACTCCGGCTCTAGATGATGGCACAAGCCTGGGATACTTTTCACATGACCAACCTCTGGACCATAAGATTCTGGGGGAGAGAGCCACACAGTCTACCACATCTTTTGAAAAATTTCCATTAGAAATTGCCTCTTTTTGATTTAATTGTGCCTACTTAAATAAAATATTTTTCTGGGTTTGGGTCGCACTACTGAGTCCACCAGTGTTACCTCAAATGTAACAAAGCTCTGCCCAGACTGTGTTATACGGTACACATGGTTGGTTATATGGTCAGTTATATATATTATATGGTCAGTCAGCACAGAAATACATGCACTTCTGAAACACTCAGATTGTGAATTCTCCACTTGTCATTCATAAGGCATCAGACCGGGCAGTGGGGCTGGGGGAGAGGGAGGGGAAAATGACACTGTGGCTAAAACCTGGGTTCAGTTGACACAGAAACTTTCAGGACTGGTGATTCCTCTCTAAGGACAAGAAGCTTCCTCAAGAGTTGGCATGGCTTTGTTCCGCTCTTGAGTAGCTTCCTCCACAAGCTGGCCATGATCCAAGAATGGATGCTGGGTCTCCCTTTAACCAACACCTGCAGAGAGGGTGTGGTCACAACAGGACATCACCTATTTCTTTGAGGAGTAGGTATACCCCATCCCAGGCTGAGCCGGACAGTTTCAGGTACTGGCTTTTGCCCAGTCAAAGGCAGGATGGGAAAAGCTGGCATCTTTGGTATGGGCTATGATGTACAGTAGGATCACATGTCCAGAAGCAGAACAAGGGCAGTCTCTACTATACTGCTGAAGAGACCAGAGCAAGTCACTCATCTTCTATATGCCTTCCTCTTTCCACGTGTAAGTAGACATTGCATTTTCTCCAAACACAAGCATTTATTTAGTGTTTGCAAAAAAGAGTCATCTTCATTGTTTCCAGTGCTGTACTCTATTCTGGGATGTGTTGTGCTGACAGAAAGGCACAAGCAAGCCAACAGCTTACAAAAGGCTGGTGTACACCACGGGTTTGACAATCCCCCAACTTAGCCTGATCTTTTTTTCTCCATAGCATTCATGTGTTCAACATCTCCAGGGACCAGCTTGAATACACATCCTTCGTGTTTGTATCACACCATGAAAACATTGCTTTCATTTGTTTACTGTGGAGCTATGACTCGGGGAAAAAAAAAAAAAAAAAAAAAAAACTAAATATGTGGGCTGCAAGCATTGGGTGTAAGCCAGAGCCCAAATCTTTTTGCAAAGATGTAAATTCGTAAGACGGGTGGCATTTGATGCTGTTTATAAACCAAAAATTTCTACTATATTTAATGAACCATTTCTTTCTTCGGATTCAGTTGAAACCCTGAGATTATTTATCGGCTCAGCACATATTTGCATTTTCTTGAGGGTAGAACCACAGTGTATTGCCTCCAGAGTGAGACAGCTGAACAGGAAATACAGTTTTTCTAAGAGTAAATATTTTTATCATGACATTGTGGGTGCGAATGCATGTGCGCGCACGCACATACACACACACACACACACACACACACACACACAACGATTCTAATGGTGTGGTGTTATATATTTACTTTACAGCTACAATCACACACAATTCTGCAAAGCAACAGATGAAGAAAAGCGGTATAATGCACAACTGGACCTTGCTACAGCACATCCCTCGGGGTGGCTGAAAACCTTATCCCATTCTGCATTTCTTCCGAGGCACCATGGCATCTACTTACAGACTGTGTTCCTCATCCTTGTCTGTGGACACCATTACACCTCACTTCTCATCAGGGGATTCTACATGGCATGGGCAGGGCAGGCTGTCCCCTCCTTTAGCCGACATAATGCCATCTACCTTCAGCTAAGTTTGTCGACATTTACGAGAAGCCAGGCAGTCTTGTTTCCTGTTGTGGTTTCATATTTGACAGAAGTTCACAGGAAACAACAGCCTCAAGATCTCGTAACTCATCTGTGTCCTTCCTCGAGAATTATTATATCTTGGCACCCAGCCAGCCCCAAGGCTAAACTCTCACTGTAGATGGGACTGGTACACGATAATTATGTGTTACGTTCATATTTTAAGACTCTGTCTGAGGAAATCTCTATTAGCACTGTATGTTCTACCTGCTTCCTCTTTCTCATGGTCCGCTCTACTCACAGGTGCACGGTATTATTGGCATCACAGCATATCACGTGGCCAAATGGCCGCTTTCGAGCTGTATTTTCAAGTAGCTTTTTCTAAGTCTAGTGGGAGATTTTAAAACACATGAATGTTTGACTCGGGAATTAGCAATAATGATACTTCCATGGCACTGTTATACACCTTTCCTAAATCACAAACTATCAAGTGATCATAGTTTTCTTCATCTTCAAAATATTAAAATTGTGTCACAATTTTATTCTCAGAGGATCGGGACATACATGCAGCACATGACCTTCACGATTAGCCATATGCAGAGAACACGTAGCTGCTGTGGACACTTAGCTGCTGTAGACACCAACTGTCCAAAGAAATGGCCTTTGAATCTAAGGCCCTCAAAGTCTTGGGATCAGACTATAGGCATTCAGAAAAAAAAGACATGCTCCTTGGTGGCACGGAACAAGGAAGAAATGGGAATTCACAGGACTATGACAACATTAAGGGTGGAACATTTCCAAAACAGACTTCATGGGGTTGTAGGATAAGAGAGAAAATAGGTGAGAAAACCAGAAGCAGTTTAGGCAATTGATGGGTCATGATCAAAGCCTCCACGAAGGGAAGTTGTAGAGGTTAGCATGGAGAAATGAGGTGAATTAGGAATCCAAAATGACAGCTCCTAAATGACAGCTCTCTGAAGCCTTTGTAGGTCTTAGCTAGAGAGATGAGTCTGGTCTAATTTGTTTCATTTCACTGAAAAATATTAAGAGATAAGGTAGTTGTCATTCCTCTCAAAATTAAGAAAATGATTAATTGGGGCTGGAGAGACAACTCAGCAGTTAAGATGCTTACTGCAGTTGCAGAGGACCTGAGCGCCACTCCAGCAAGCACATGACAGCTCACAACCACCTGTACTAACTCTAGCTCCTTTAATCAGACACACTTCTGTGTGATCCTGCAATATGTACATACACTCAGACATTCACACATACACATAAAATAACTACATAAGTAAATGCAGCTAAAATCAGAAGACTGCTGACACAGGGGCAATATTTCTAAAAGGGAGAAAGAAAGAAAGAAAGAAAGAAAGAAAGAAAGAAAGAAAGAAAGAAAGAAAGAAAGGAAGGGAGGGAGGGAGGGAGGGAGGGAGGGAGGGATAAGCAGAAAAAAAGAGGCAAATGAACAATGCTGTCATAATTTCCATCAGTACCCATCAAATACCTTCCATTTATCATAAGGCCTGTATATTATAACATAGTAATTGTAGTTATGTGTATGTGTTGAACCATTCAGAAAATAATTTGTGTGATGATTAATGTTGTCACTCTCTTTATGAACAACACTGTATATACTCCTCACATACACCCCGAGAATATGGCACTTGGTGAAAAGTGGCCTTGTTCATGTTGAACTCAAAACATTAACATGTTGGTGAGAGCCATTTTTTGTATGCCTCACTTTTCAGGGGCATGTTCACAGGGCACTGTTGAAACATCTTCTAAGCATGTGAGCAAATATTCCTTTGATACATTATGTGAGCAAATTCTGGATTTAAATTAAATATGGGGGGGAGAAGTTCAAGGGACACATTTGTTCTTAATATAAAAAAAAACATAAGAAAGGGCCTCTCAAACTCTGTCAGATAGTTCTAGAAGCAACAAGGATAAGAATCTATAATGTCAGATCAACTGGGGAGGATGAAGAACAAAGAAACATGAGTTTGGGAGGGGACAGAGTCCCCCTCTCATCAGCCTAGTCCTTTATCTTCTAATGCCCACATCTCTCCAGCCCACACTATGCTTTGACCTTGCTAAAGATGTGTGTTCCCTGTACAACAATCTTTCCTCCATTCCCCATCTCAAGGAGCTGAACTCCTGGAATCTAGTTGTAGAGAGAGAGGAGTGATGAGCAAAGGGATCAAGACCAGGCTGGGTAAACCCACAGAATCAGCTGACCTGAGCAAGTGGGAACTCACAGACAGCAGTCTGACAGCTGGGGAACCAGCATAGAACCAAACCAGGCCCCCTAAACATTGGTGTCAGTTAGGAGGCCAGGACAGTCTATGGAGCCTCTGGCAGTGGAACACACCAGTATTTATCCCTAGTGCATGAATGGACTTTGGGAGCCCATTCCCCATGGAGGGATACTTTCTCAACCTAGATACATAGGGGAGGGCCTAGGCCCTGCTCCAAATGACTTGACAGACTTTAATGATTCCCCCATGGAAGGCCTCACCCTCCCTGGGGTAGGATGGGGAGATCGGTGGGGGGGCATGAGAGGATGAGAGGGAGAGGGAACTGGGATTGACATGTAAAATAAGATTGTTTCTAATTTGAATATATATGCATATATATGCATTTCTCTACATACACCAGTGCCCACCACCCTGAACTAGCCAGCATCTTTATATATTGTTTTCATCTGTTCATATAGACTTTTCTTCATAACTGTATAGGACTTTCTAGGCTGACTTTAGTTTTACTGTAATTATAAACTTGATGGAAAGAATTTCTATTACAGCTTATGCTCACAACAATTGCAGTGACCATCCACTGAACAAATGTGTGTTAGAGCCTGCAGTGTGGCAGGAATGATGCTTTAGGTAAGGAGTGCTATAGCCAGCAGTGTGGCAGATATGGTACTCATGGTATGTTATAGCTGGCAGTGTGGCAGGAATGGTACTCAGGGTGTGCTACAGCCAGCAGTGTGGCAGACATGGTACTCATGGTATGTTATAGCCAGCAGAGTGGCAGACATGGAACTCAGGTATGTTATAGCCGAGAGTGTGGCAGGAATGGTACTCAGGGTGTGTTACAGCCAGCAGTGTGGCAGGCATGGTACTCAATTATGTTATAGCTGGCAGTGTGGCAGGCATGGTACTCCGGGTGTGTTATAGCCAGCAGTGTGGCAGGCATGGTACTCAGGGCACAGCACTAAAGAACAAGGCACAGAGACTTCTGCCAAGTACAGCCATGGGTTCTTGGGAGCCAGCAGTCACTGTCAACTTTCACCTGATGCTCCTTTTAGTCCAGGATGCTCTCCTGCTGCTTTTACATCAATTTGTACCTTTCAAAGCTTAAGTTACAATCTTCCTTAACAACTTGCACACATAGAAAGGCATTTAACAAATAAAGTAAGCCTAACAATACCATATGCCTGTGAATAAATAAGAAACAACTATGAATGCTCCAAAGAATAAAACTATCTCTAGAAAATTAACTAAAATAATGTGTTTCTTCTGTGTTTAAAATCCAGACAAACCACCAGTATTGACATGGCTGGAAATTCGCACCTAGGAAATACAACAGTTTGGGCCAGGAAGGGAAAGAGAAATACTTCAGTATAGATGAATCCAAAATATGATATGATGATATAGTTGTCCTTACTCTGAAATATTCTGGCAATAATCACAGGTTTCTCTACCTATATGGTGAGTCACAGGGTGTGTCCAGACGTAGATCAAGCCTGTCTGGTGTCAAGGATCACCTCCCAACTTCCTATCCTGAGGAGGTACTTCCTCATTCAGACCACATCTTACCTGGTGGCAGAGCTCCTCCCACTGCCTTTGCAGAAGCTCCACACGTTCGTTAAGGATGGAGATGTCCTCGGCACTGATGTAGACAGCCAGGGCATCCCTCAGTAGCATCAACTCTGCCAGGTCATCTGTCCACCTCCCAACCGCGTTTTCCAATTCCTACCAGGGAACAAACGCCCATGAGCCCCGCATGACATCTACCTGTAACCCTCTGGAGGGGCTTTGGTGACCTTCTTAGTATAGTTCCCTTCCTACAAACTCCTTCTGAACACCACACTTGAGTTCTGTTTTATTTGCATCCTGCCTAACTTGAAAACCCGAGAAGTTCTTTTGATAAAAATACCAAGGTTCCCTGCAAAACCCTCCTACCTATTCACCATCTCACTGATGGTTTTAGGATGTAGTTTATTTTTTTCAAACCCAAGTCTTTTCAGGGTAATGGCCTTCTTTATTCTGACTTTATATCACCCTACAACCCTGAGACCATGAACACATCTAAATGACTTCAGAACCCCTTAACCACCCATTAGTTTTGTCCTGTTCATGATCACACAAATACAACATTTAAAAGGGAAATTTCCTCCATTGAACTTCATTTGAGTTGACATTCTGTGATAAATACTTATCATAAAATGCCAAGCTTTGGTACTGTTTCTCCCATGTTTAAAATAATTCACTAGCTACATGTTCTGTGGGATCAGAGGTTTCTTGGAGCTATTGATTATGGACTTGTCCCTTTGAGCATTAATTAGAAGAAAAAAAACTCCTTGGAGCAAAATTTGAATGAGCAGATGTGAGTTTCTGCCATGCTTTATCTGGTGACCAGTTTTGTAATTTGTGTCACTCTCACTCTCTGCCAGCTGTTGTTCGTAGATTCCAGCTTATTTAGTGTGTGAATGGAGAATTTCATACAGTCTATTCTCTGTCTTTCTTGTCTCTTCACACCAGAGACACGTTTCTAAAGGCAAAAGTAATTAACGGTGCTATCTGGGGCTAACTTCTCAGGCAATTTAAGCAAACAAGGATTTAGCCTGAAATTTTCAAGTAATTGCTTTGTTTTGCTGCTGAGGGTGACTGGGGAAGAGCGTAATGGAGCTGTGTGGAAACACATCCTCCCCATCTCCAAACTCAAAGCAGGGACAGTTGTCCAAATATTTTGGGAGATGACAACAGAGTCTCAAAAAAAGAATAACTGGCCGAAAGACCAAACTTTCCAGGTGAATAAATATGCAGCATTCTGTCTGCACCTTTAGACAGATTAAATTGTTATACCAGTGTAAGGACATCACTCTTTAATACCAATCCTGCCCCTCTCCCTGCAACTCAAGCATCACACTTAGTTTATGGATTTAAAAAAGAAACAAAGAATTAGCTGTGGTGATATTTGCCCATAATCCCAGCACTGACTCCAGAGGCTGAGGTATGGGGACTCTGTGAGTTTCAAGACAGTCTGTGCTCCACAGTAAAACCCTCTCTAAAACAAAACCAAACCAAAAGAATACACACACACGCACGCACGCACGCACGCACGCACACACACACACACACACACACACACCTGAGTAACACTATCATGTAAACCCCAAGCCCACAGTTTCAGACTCTACCTATTAGCTCAGGTAGTGGGACTGAAATACAGTCTTTAAATTCAGACAAATTGGTCAACTACTAATGTGAAACATTGTTATTTTAGACTCTGCCAGTTTCTAATCTAGCATAAGGGAAATAACAATGTCCCCATGAGCATGTGTCTTGCCAAATGAGAGAGCACTGGAATGTAGGAAGAGTCTGCTATTAGATCATGCTCATTCCTGCTTATCGGGTAATTTCTTTAATAGATTAATTACATATGTTTCTATTTGTTTATTTGTTTGTTCATTTGTTTTGAGACAGGGTTTATCTGTGTAGCCTTGCTGTCTGTCCTGGAACTCACTCATAGATCAGGCTGGCCTCAAACTCACAGAGATCTGCTTTGCCTCTGCCTCCAGAGTGCTGATATTCAAGGTGTGCAGTACCACCACCCAGCTAATTACACAGGTCTAAAACAAACTGATTTTAGTGTTATAGCCTTCAAATGGTTTTCTTTTGAGGCAGGGGCTCAGTCATGTATTCCAGTCTGGCCTTGAACTCAGGGTCCTCCTGCCATAACCTCTTAAATGACACCACATCAGTCGACCTTCACATGCATCTTAGTGTGACGTAGTGAGGTATTTCATTCATCATCTTTGGTGTAATGTGTACCACTTTTTAAATTTTCCTAATGCTGCCTTTCTCAAATTTCAGTGGATATATTTTATAACTTTAAAACTAGGATCATCACACGGCCGTAACGTAAAAAATGACTGTGGAAACACCAGAAATGGTTAAGTTGAAAGAAAGCATTTACGAAGTTACTTTTGATAACCATCAGCATATTACTCAGCCAAAAAGTGCTGGCCAGGCACTCTGCTTGGCTACACAGGTGTGCACAGAATAAATCTTGCAGCCACTAAGTCACTTAGTGACCTCATAATTTAGGGAGTGGTCTGTGTTACTACTGATTGCTTCCAAGTGCTATTAGAGGTGATGACCATAACTTCGATTAGAGGTGGTGATCAATCTGTGAGTGGCTAAAGCCCTGAGCAATTTGAGGATTAGGCGGCCCCTTGCTTTGATAAAGATTAGATACTTTTTCCTGCTTTCTGTACAGAGGCATCTACCATTGAGGGTGTGCTCCTCTGCCCCAGTCTGCAGGTTTCCCCAGATGTCCTTCTTACTGTTTTGTTAGGACAATTCTCCAGTATTTATGTTTCAGGAAGATAGCTGCTATTTATTGCCCTTGACTCAGCTTTTAAATGTCTTTTTTGTTGGGTCTTAAATTTTTCAATTGCTTCCCCTGGGTAATCCATAAACTGGCCCATAACTTCATCTACAGGAAATCTCATTGCATTGATGACTCCCCTAATGGGCTTTCCAAAGACTTCCTATGCTCACACAGACAGCCCAGGCCTCTCCCTGAGATGTGATCTCAAAGGCTTTATTCCAGCAGACATACGTGGCTAGGTGACAGGGACAGTCTCCATCCGGTCACGTACCTTGCACCTCATCTGCTCAGTGTGCAGCTCCTCATGGTGGTCTGGTAGAGGTTGGGACAACTTCTTTTTGAATGTTCGGAGCTTCTCCAGTGAATCAGCTATCCCTTTCTCGAATTTTTCCCAGTCCTATAATCGAAGGAGAAAGAAATCATATACATTTTTGGTGAGAAATTACACAAACACAAATGAAAAATAAAGAAAATAAATAGTCTTTTTAATTGCCAGAGATGTAATTACACTGATGAACTGTGGGAGGGTGATGGGGGAAGTACTTCTGTGTAGGTTTATCTTATTGATTGTTTAATAAAGTTCTGTTTGGCCAATGAGGAGTCAAAGAGGATTCTGGGAAATGTAGTAGAGAAGTGGTGTTCCAGGCAGGAAGTGACATAGCAAGGAGACTCATATTTAAGCAAGGAGAACCATAGAAGCCTAACGACATCTCCTTTACCTAGTTAGCACCAACAAAGGCCCTGCAAACCAAAACTATGAATACTATTGTCTATGAGGCTCAGATGTGTTTCAATTCCCCTAGTTTACAACACCCGGTGTGTCATTTTGCTCACCAATGCTCAGTCCTGTAGACATGATTCATCAGAAAAAAAAAAAAAAAAAAAATCTCCCCTGCTTAGACTTCACAATTTTCAAAGAAATCAGCACACACCCTAAAGCAGTCAATGCACAGCCAGTGGCTGTTCAGAGTTGCCACTGTGAAGGTCAACCCTTCAGGACAAAATCAACGTCAGATAAGCAGGCAAAACCAAGACTATTTGGGGCATACATACCCAGAGGATGAGGCTCACACCTGAAGACAGATTATAACATTGGTGTAAAGATAGATACATGAAAATAAGTCTGGGTAGTAATGAAATTTCTAAAATCTTAAGACTTTCTTGGGCAAACAGAATGTAACATATGATTCAAAATTAAAGAAATTCTGACTATAAAATAAATAAATAAAAATAAAAGTAAAATAAAAAAGCTCCTGAACTGGAAAAAAAAATTCTGAGAAGAGAAGAATAGAGTCTCTTCTCCATCGATGACTTGGACAGTGAAGCCAAACACCGAGTCTTTTTTTCTGCACAAATGATAAGGAACTAACTTCATGTCCTGTTCTGCAAACTGTCCATCACAGTCAATGTTTTACACATGAACTGACAGGTGAGACAAGCAAATTCAGTGACTCAGACTCTATGCATTCTTATGTCTTGGGATTATATCCAAAAACCACATCACAAATAAAAAATAAAAAATAAAAATGCAAGATTAACACAGTCTCGCCAGAATGAATTACAGTGTTTTAAATCCTTGCCTGACACCAAGATGACGACAAATGACTCAGGCATATTATGTTACCAGTGACTTGCTCTGTAAGCAAATAGTGGTACTTAATACATATCCAGTGGCATTTTTGATTGATTGTTCCCTATTCAAAAGCATATTTATATATATATATATATATATATATATATAT